TCGAATCGGATTTGGGTTCATACTAAAGTGAAATCAAATCCATCAATATACCTATCAAGGCACCGGTGGTCCACTCCTCAGGGTTCTCAAGGGTGAAGTAAATTCAACAAGATAGGAATGTTGGATATAGGACCAACTTTTTGTTCTCTCCACATTGATCACGTGAATCATTGATTTTAAAAAGATAAAGTTTTTACAAAATAAAAAATACTATTAAACCAAAATCCCGTTAGTTGGAAACCACACTAGAAATATGTACATTTTAAGCAATTTGAGTTTATTTTTTGTCCATTCTCTTCATAAGGTTTTCCTATAGTTTTTGTTTGCAGAATCCCTCTTTAAATTTGTTTAAAATTGAATATCATATACAAGAATTCGATTCTACCTAACTAAACAAATCAGTAAAATTCTCCTAGTTTCATTTATTTATGTAGTTATATATATTAAATTTTGAATTAATCTAATCGGATATTAATCTATACCAATAGTTACATAATATAAAAAAGTCGGATTTAAATTTGAATAATCAATTATAAATGATAATTAAATTTGACTTTTCCACAGGCTGAGGTTATCCCCACTCTAGCCGACGTGTTAAAGGTTGGTGAGAGCTGCTAACTAACTTATATGTGGCTAGCACCTCAACCCCCTTTGCAGAGCTAAGAGCATACGAAAGTACTATGCTATAGAAAAATAAAATTTTTATATTATACCAACAAAATTAAAAATGCTTAAAAAGAGAGTAAGTTTTATTCCAAAAAATAATATTTTTTATTTAAAAAATAAGTGCACCTCAAAAATTAATAAACTTAACTCAAACAATGATATAGATGCAAAAATAATAATAATAATAATAATAAATGGTACGATTTTCAGTACTGAAGTCAAATCAAATTAGATTATGGTAATAAACTAACCGCTCGTTCAGGAAACATAAGCTTATGCCTTTTCATAAAATATATTTGTATACATGTATTTGGTTAGCATAAAAAACTTGTAAAAAAATTTAAAAAAAAAATTCATTCTATTGTTTGAAAGAAAAGAACAGTACAAGAAAAAAAAATTCAATTGTCCAAATTACCCTTAATTATATTAAATTTGCTTAAAGAAAAAAAAAATACGTTTTATACTTAAATTTTAAAAAGTGGTGCCAAACCTAGTTCCAGGTCAAGGATAGGCTTGAACCCATATTTTTTGGCCAGATTATATGGTTACAGTAAACCATACTAAGTTTTTTTTAAATTAATAACCAACCGAATATTTTAAGAAAAGTAAAGATAAAATGAAAATTTAGATTATAGATCACAACTTTCTTACTTTTCTTTGTGTTTTTTCAAAGAAAAAAAAGTTGTTTAGTTGTGAGAAAATTCAAGTATGGAAAAAAATTATTTTTCCATCATTTTTTATTTCCTGCTAACCAAACACATGAAAAAATTAAAAAAAATTTCTTTTTTGCATTTTGTACCATTATCCTGCTAAACAAACGGATCAAGAGATTCTACAAGACTTTATAAATAAAAAATAAAATTATAGTTATATTTTTTTTTCTTTGGTACAGAAAGTTGGCATCTCTAATAGGCAGAATTATTACTTTATGTAATGTACTTAGGATTGATTCAAAAAACATAGCATCGATCCCAACTTTTCGCTATCATTAATTAATTACTTTTGTTTCCATTAAATTATAATCTTATTTCATTAGGTCGTAATTTTTAATTGTTACAATAGCCTTTTCTAGTTTGGACATCCTGTTTTTGCTTTGATTTGGCCATTTCCAATTCTTAGCTTCATTTCACAGACTCTTCCTCCTTTGTTAACATTAAAAAAAAAAAGGAAGAAGAAGAAGAATAGGGAAAGGGAAAGGGGGACTATTTTAGAATGTGTCTTAAATATTACAACTTTTATGAGCTATTGGCAGATGGTTTGACAATAATAGCCTAGTCTTCCGTTTTTTTTTTCAAATGGATAAAAATTCTAGTAAAAATAAACCCACCCTTCTTGGTAATTATAGTACCACATAAATTAAGAACGTTTGTCTATACTAAGAAGGGATAATTAGCAAGAGTTAACAGATTACATAGCAGTAGAGCTCACGAAAGACTAGCAGGATGGGTATGGACAACAGTGCCCTAATAAGCACCTAGGGCCGCGACAGCAACCTAGTTTTGCGATAGCACCCAGTGTTGTAGAAAGGAGGGACACATCCTCATCACATTAAAAGTGACAAAATAGACCCTTAACCAAGGATAGACAAGAATGGCACTGCAGAGGTCTAGGGGTAACCTTGGCGTGAGTCACCTCTCCATTGCAGAAATAGGACACAAGGCTGGGATTGCACAGCCGACCGAGTTGATATTCTCAACCTTCTAGACACCGTTACTTGACTGGTCCACTGGACTAAGAGGAGGAGGGGTCCTTACTTAGGCATTGGGCAAGGGCAAACAAGCATATGATTGTCAACCACCGCCTGCAGTAAGGTCTCAAAGGTTTAATTTGCTCGAATAGACCTTTTAATGTATGACTCACTACCTACTGAGATGTGCTTGACTGAGATCTAAAGGAACTGTTAAGGTAACTGGGATTATTGGTCCGAATCAATATATGGGATAAATAAGATATGCGGATTAGTGGTTGAAGGTTCAAAACTATGTGGCTTTCCTCTATCACACCTTGACAAAGGTCTCGAGGAAAGGATTCAAAGAGAAAAGGGAGGATTTTGGATAGGAGCACGTTGGGGGTATCGCATATATGACTTTTTCGAGGTCATGGTCCCACAATGACCAATTGTGATCATTAACCTTGGGAATCCCCTTTTACCTCAATTGTCGCACTCCTCCTTAGGAGTCGCGTCTAGGCTGTGTGTAGGAAAATATCACATCTATCTAGTTAATGTAAGGACTCGTGGCTCGTGGTTAATAGCCATTGGTATAGTTGTTGTGGAGGTACTTGTGGGTTGGTGTGAGTCTTAGAGAGTTGCGATAGGTAGCCCTACCTGTTCGGACACTATGCTATAAATACTCTTATTATTTGTCCATTGCAGCAAAGAGATTTCTATTTGACTGGTGAGAGTATTTACTCCACCTATCCTCTGCTCAATTGGTTGATCTCTTCGTTAATAGGCTACTCAAGTTCATTCCATTTCATCCACTTATCCTACACATCCTCCCTGATTATCCTTGACGTAGACACATGTATCGATCTCTTTTAACTTCTCATTTATAATAATTATAATTTAAATAACAACATTTCAACTATCCGTACTGCAAAATTCATAAGTTTAACCTCGTAAGAAATGTATTAATTGATTTTAAAAATATGATTTGTGAGTGATTAAAGAATTTACATAAAATGTTCAAATTGAATAAACACATGATTTGAACAATTTTTAAATAACAAAAAAAATGTTATCCTGTTCTATGTTCATATATTTTTGCCATCTAATTTACGTAAAGATTATTGTTAACTAAGTAATTTACTGGTTCAAAAAGGAAAAAGCATTAAGAAACAATTAACCAAAACAAAAAACGAAACCTCAATAGGAAAAACAATGGGAATCGCACTTTGCACCCCAAAATATTTAAGAATTTTTATTTGGTTTAATTACAATCTACCCTCTCCAACTAGGTCCTTGTTGCAATCAGCTCCCTGTAGTTTCAAATGATATAACTTGTCCCCTCCAAGTTTTAAGAGGATTAAGTTGACAAACAATAGTGGTTGAACACTAAAAAAAAAAATTATTTCCCTTTTTTTTTATATACCAATTTTGTCCTTAAAAAATAAGAAAACGGAAAAGCCAAAACTAAAAAATAAAGAAATCTTTGTCTCCGCCTCATCATAAGGAATAGAGGGTTTCTACCGAAAGGAAGAAGGAAATGAAAGTTAATCATCAAATCCGAGGTAGGGGAGGATGAAAGTTGAACCGATAATCGAACAAGTTCGAATAGAGCCTTCAAACTCATTTTTTTAAACGAACCTAAAAAATTATTCAAATTCGATTCGTTTAAATGAGCCAAGTCTGAACAAGTCCAAAACAAACTAACCTCAAGTAGCTCTGTTCGGTTATCAATCCTAAATGGAAGGGTATAAGGGTAAAAAAAGAAGTATGGATATTTGGTATAAGGGAAAAATAGGTATAAGGATAAGTATATCTTTTCAATAAAGTAGAGATCATGTGAATTTTGTCAATTTTTACTGTCTAAAAATACCTATTAGAATTGATTACAAAATATTCAAAATTTAAAGGGGGCAATTTGTTGAAATTAAAACTTGAAGGAATAAGTTGTAAACTATCCAAAGTTGAAGGGGATAGTTTGTAATTAATCTTTTTCTTTTTAATTTTGTATGAGATTAAATTTTCTATATTATACCCCTACTATATTAGAATATTATAATATAATTCTTTTGTTAGCTTTTGTTGCTCATTTCATCAAAAATCACTTCACTAGCGTTCATGATGACAAAATGAGTAACAAAAGCAAATTTAGGGTGTATATGAAAAATCTAATCTTTAGGAGTATAGATTAAGAATTCTTAAATCTTTGGGGGAGTAAAATACAATTCATCCCATAACAAATATTGTAAAAATAAAAATGCCAAGAGTAGTTCTCTTCCCTCCTTTTTTTTTTTTTTTTTCTTTTCTGAACCAACTTCTCTTACCTACTTACCCAGAAAAGCAAATTCTCTTTCACCTGCTATTACGTTAAGTAGAACGAGCAGAGAGGAGAACTCTCCCCACTCACAACCACTGACACGCGCTCATCACGAGTCAACACAAGCTACTTTGTCGAGTTGAGAACAAGAAAACTAATGTACATCTCAATCAATGAGTCGTGTTTGTACCAACTTTCTATAACAAAACTACCAATCTGCAAGTCCCCGGTATTGCAAAACCTCCCTCTCTCTCTCTTTCTCTCTCTCTCTCTCTCTCTCTCTCTATCACAGACACACACACTCCAATCATGTGGCAGCTTTCTGTTTAATTTTGAGTCACTGAGCAGTCACTTTTTCACTTACTGTAGTGCTTTTTTCCCTTGTAAATGCTGCTATGCTTCCATTATCGAAGCACACATTGAGCTTATCCACCTCATTCTTTCTTCTTCTTTTTTTCTTTTAATATTAGGTTAAAAAGTCTTGTTCTTTCTTCGTTTCTTAATGACGGGTTTTGCTCCTTTGTCGATCAACTTTTTTACAGCTCTTGTGATTCTAAATGACTGACTTTTGGGATTTGTTTTATGGGTTTTTCTCAAATTGAGGTCTACAAGCTTTAAAGGAGAGAAATTGAGGTAAGAGTAAGTGGATTGTATGTAGAGTTTATAAGGGAAATCTTCCTTAAATATTCGTAGTTTGATGAATTCAATTGAGGTTTTCAAGATGACAATTCAACTTGGTCATTGTGTAGAAGGCATATAGTTCTTCTTGGTTTGTGTTTTTGTGGGGTTTATATGTAATCTTTGAGAGAGTCATTTTGTCATTTATGAATTCAATGGAGTCTTGGAGCTATGTTTCTGGGGGCAAGGGTTTTGCATCTGAGGAATCTGTTTGTGCTTTTGATGGGATTGCAAAAGGTAAAAATGGGTTGATGGGTTGGGAATTGAAAACCCCTAGTAGTTTTGGAAGCAATATGGTAGGCTCAAGACAAGAATCAATTGAGAATCAGACTTGTGTTGAATTGGGTTTTCCAGAGGTGATGAGAGAATCAATACCCAATGCCTCAATCAGGGATGTTATGAGTAGCAAGGTTGGTGGGGGAAGAATGTTCAATCCAGCTAAAACTATCACAAATTCATTCTCTGGGGAAGAGGAGTCCAGTTCTAAGCTATCAAGCTCAGTTTTGGAGTCTAATTGTAAGGACTCATCATTCATTGATTTGAAGTTGGGGAGGTTAGCTGATCATAGTGATGCCCAAAATTTTAATTCCTCTGAGACAATCCACAATATGTCTTCAGCAGAATCATCTATGCTAGCTAAGAGAGTTCGAGCAGGGGGTTTGAATTCTTCAACACCCTTTTGCCAAGTTTATGGGTGTAAGAAAGATCTTAGCTCCTCTAAAGATTACCATAAGAAGCATAAAGTTTGTGAGGTTCACTCAAAGACTGCCAAAGTCATTGTGAACGGCATTGAACAAAGGTTTTGTCAACAATGTAGCAGGTTGTTTTTTGATCGTTTAGTCATTTATCTTTTTACACTGTATATCTTAAGCAATTTTTTAAGAAAAGATGGAGAAAATTAGAGATCTTACACTGCACAATATTTAGCTAGGAATATTTGCAACTGTGAATTGTATTATTTATCCCAGTACAGACCAGATTTTCTCAATTTGTTCTCTTCCACCTTCTCAACAACCATTCCCCAGTCATATCCCTTCTGGAATCCTGGAAGTGGGTTAGTTAATTTATTCTCCTTATTTTCAGAATTACATGATAAAGTGCTTCCAACCTTCAGTCCACAATATTAATGTCAAATCAGCTATGTGGTTGATCTTGTTTTGCAGAAAAGTCTACATTTACCATTAAATTATAAGCCAGCATGTTTTTGTTGCAAATAGCTTAATTGACCTTGTCAATCTCAAGCTTGCCAAAGTGAGAAATAACATGCTTTTCATTTGTAATATAACATATGAAAGCTACCTTATTCCTCTACAGGTTTCATTTGCTGGCTGAATTTGATGATTGTAGACGCAGCTGCCGTAAACGTCTTGCAGGCCACAATGCACGTCGAAGGAAACCTCATGGGGGTATTCACTCTGGCAGAACTGCGAGGTTGTTTCAGCCATATGATGGTATTAAATATACCTTCTTGAACTTGGATTAAATTTGATAGTGCACAAAAGTTGATTTATACACCACTTGTCGAGTAATTAATAAGGGTACTAAATGCAATAAATATAAAGATGAGATCAACACAAACACAGATATATAGTGGTTCGGTCAGGGTAACCTACTCCACATTGAAGGCGGCAACGGTGACCGGAGAACTTTATTGATAAAGTAGTATGTGGGTGAGAGAGAGCAAGAGTAGTGGTGAGGTGTGTGAGTGGTAGCTATGAGAGATATGTGTCTCTCTCTCATGTACAGACAGAGTCTTAGTTGAGGCAGTAGCGTGAGGGATAGATTACTTGGGGGAGGATAGTTACAGCTATGGATAAAAACAATTAAAGATAGTCTCGATCTCCGACTAGTGGTTATGCCATTAATTATTCCCCATATGGGTTGATCCTCATGGGTCTCTTAGACTTCTAGACTGGGCTGAACCCATAAGCTACGTTTGACCTGCCTTTTGATGATTTGGGCTCAATCCATAAACTGGGCCCAGACCTGGTCTAAATGTGGGCTCATCAAAACTTTCTAGTTTTGATTAAATTTGGCATCACTTCTTCTCTTGGCTATGTATTAATGTGATGGCATTGTTTTCATTTTTTATTAGCCAAACAATGCACGTGAATGCAGTCACTTAAATTTTCTCCATTTTGAGTGTTTTAAATGGAGTCAATCAGCTTCCTCTGAAATTTTCTCCATTTTGATTGTTTTAAACTTTTACTGCCTGTTGGAGTCTATATTGGATATATACTTTTGGAAAATGAAATATTATCTCTGTACACTTCTATACCTGTAAGAAAATATCTCTAACCTTCCAAATATAGTCATGGGTTGAGGATTCATAAGCTGATATAGAGCTTTGATTCCTCCAAAGTACTGTTTGTATTCCATATCTTCTATTTTTGATTTGTGAGCTATATATTTTCTATCGCAATAAGTTCTCTATTACAGTTTTATTGCTTGTAGTCAGCACTCCTTAAGGTACATTACTAACTTCAAATTAGTTTACCTTTTCTGTCAGAAATATCAGCTCTTGGACTTCATTTTTTTCAGTAACTAGCTCTTGGACTTCGTTGTGTTCTTTTAATGTACTTTGTGCTTGAACAGAAACTACCCTCATACCATAAAAATTATATTTCCACTTTTACAGTTTTGCTTTGTGCATATGATGCAAAGTTAAGCCATGAATTGGACAATGGTACCAGGAAAGACATTTCCATTATTATTATGTAGTAGAAGTAAGACGACCTTTAGGAGTTGTTATTTTGCAATGTGCATCTTTGGAGCTTTGAGCATTGGTTTCATTTGGTCCAAGGAAAAAACCTAGTGTACCATGTTACAAGGTTACACAAGATAAATTCTAGCTTTTCGCAACCACAGCAAATGTCTATAGCTTCAAAAAACAGTACAAGAGAAACACGCATGGATGTTAACCATAACTCACAGATGCAGGATGCATATTTTATGATCATACATTCATGATTGGCATGCTGTGCACCTGTCAACTCAAGCTCATGTCTACATCTCTGACAGAAATCTGATAGGAGTTGGGCACTTTCAAGAAAGTCTTTTACTAGTGAACTATATATTTTTGGGCTCGAATGTTTCTCATTTTGTAAAAGAGCGCTATATTTTAACACTATTAGTTCCTCAAATATGTCCTATTGCTTCTTTTGGAAACTATAATTTACGGTTATTTTCGAACATTGTTCAGGTTCTGCAGGTAGCAGATTCAAGGGGACAGCATTTACAACATCACCATTCATTTGCCAAGGTGTACTTCCCAGCAGCCTCTTGCAACCAAAGAAGTATGAGATGAATGACTGGTCCAGGCACATGAAATTTGAAGATGGGGCTGATTATATTCCATCAGCGATTCCTATTGCAAATGAACATCTGCATTCAAAGTCAATTTTCAGTTCTTATGCTTTTGACAAACATTGTCTCCCTACAGGAAGCAAATTTAGTGAGAACAGTGATGCGGTCTCAAACTTTGTCTCACATTCTTTGGTTCCCACCCGCTCAATAGGAAGTGAGGAATTTACTTTTATGAACTCAACAGCGCCTATTCAGGGGCCATCAGAAGTATCAGATTCTGGTCATGCTCTCTCTCTTCTGTCATCTCAATCAAAGAATTCTCCAAGTCATTCATCAGGAATCCCCATGGCTCACACACTGACTATCCCAGGCAGCACTGCTCATTATAGTGTAAGATCATTCTGTGAGAAACCCTTGGGAGTGAGCATGCAGGCGTCAACAAGTGGAGAATCAAGCCACATTCTCTCATCTGGGATAAATTCTGTAGCAGAGACTCACTTAGATCCCATTCTCATTTCTGATGGTACTGATGCTATCAACTTTGTAATGGATGGAATTTTCCATGGGTCGGAATATATAAATGGCAAGGACAGTCTTTCTGGTGAAGATGGGCCTACTATTGATTTGCTTCAACTTTCGTCACAGCTTCAGTGAGGTAAGCATCAAAAGCATTTTGTGCTGGTGAAGCTCTTTCTGCGGCCTCAGGATCACTTAAGTTGTACTGGAACAAGGTACTTCAGTAGTTTCTAGACAATCAAATTTCCATTTATTTTACTGAAATAGGTCAGAAATATTTTCCAGCTTTGCTATGCGCTATTGGGTCGAAAGGGTCCGGAGACATTGCTTCTTTGGTCCTAAAAACTGTCTCAGTAAGCAATATGTTTGGCCTCAACCTCGAGTCTGTTATCCAAAAATATTGTGTATATAATTAGATTTAGGAAACTTAATAATTGTTGCAAATCTAAAATAGAAAGCCTATTGTTTAAAACAAAATAATGTACTAACAGGGACGCAAATCGACACGAATAATTAATAAAAAAAAACTAAAATAGATAATTCGAGCCTTGTGAAACACAATTTCGTTAAGACAGATTTGTTTTCTATCGGTGTTCAAGGTCAATGAGCAACTATCTCCTAAGATAGAATGAATTTTAGGTTCTTGAAGAAGTAGCACTTCTGATGGTGCATTTCAACGTGATGCAAATTTGTGATGACAAGTAAATAAAAGAAACAATATTGGAATTGTTGGGATCTGTGCTACTAGACTCGAGTGAATGATATTGAGAATTGTTGAGGAGTTGAAGAATTAAAACAATAGAAATATAGTGGTTCACCAGCTCGGGAGCTCGGCTAATCCACTCTTTAATGGAGACTATTGCTCCTTGTCTTTCAATAATGATGATTGTAAGAGTACAGTGACTAGTTTTTGCCTCTATGGTCCCCCCTTCCTTGGGGGCGTTACATAGTATTTATAGGGTTGTTCCCTATTCAGTAGGATCTTAGCCAAGATTCTTGCCTTATTTCGTGAGGTTCTCCTTGATTATAGGAGAAGATCTTGGTTGGTTGAGATTAGGTGTCTTGATTATTGCTTCCTAACGCTTTTAGAAACCTCCCATGATCTTCCAGCTATTTTCTTGGTTGTTATTGCCCTTACTTATCTCGAAGGGACCTCCAGCTCTACTCTTCCGAGTTTTGTTCGTCTAGTCTGACCTCTTGGGCTGAATTGACCTCTTGAGTTAGCGTTTGAGATTTATTTTGAGATATCATCAGTTGCCCCCCCAGCCCTTGGCCCAAGCGAGCTTGGGCATGGGCCGAGCTACTTTTACCTTAGACCAGACCTGCGCCTAGTTGACTTTAGCCTGCACGTGAAATGCACGTGGGAGGGGCTTTTTTACGGTAGCAGCAATCATGGCTCCTCTGGTTCCCGTGCACGTCTCATCTCATGTCTTTCAAGCCTTAAATGCTCAAAATAGCTAAAAGAAAACATACAAAATCACCGTTCATCTTCTACGTTGTTCACCTTCGTCTCCGGCTCTTTCTCTCTGTGATTTTTGGGCTTTCCTCCACGCGATTCCCTTATTCTCTACTCTAAGCTGTGCTTTTTGGGTTCGACTCAAAATCCTGCTTTGTTTCTCTCCTCCAATTTTGTTCTTTGGCTGTTGTTTGTTGCTCTTCTTCCCTGTCTAAGTACGCTTCCTTATGCCCTTTTCTCTTTCTGTTACCTTTCCTCACTCTGGATCCCTCGATTTCGAGGTGGCCATTATTTTTCTGGGTTTTTCGGTTCTTTTTCTTTCGAAATCGCGATCGTTGCCTATCTCTTCTTCCCTGTTTTGTGGATTGGAACTCCACTGTGCAAATTCTTACTGTCGGGAGGTACATTGCTGACCCTAGGATTATCAGTGAGTGTTTAGTTAGTATTCTTCCTTTTTATAATTCTTTCGATTTGCCTTTCTCTTTACCAATCATGTCTGCCTCCTCTGGAGCAACTCCCTCCTCTGTTTCCCTCCTAGACGACAGGTCTGTCGAGAGAGATTCTGATTTAGGAGATGTAGGTGATGAGATTGACAACTTCCCCGGTGTTGAGGCTGTCAATACCGAGGTGAACTCCAAGGAACTCCCCTCATCTTCCTCTCATGTACCTCCTAGCGCTAACAAGGGTAAAGGCAAGGTGAGTGAGGTTGGGATTTCTGATAGTACAGCGGGTATTGGGGCTGCCTTCAGGCATGTTGAGCTCTTGGGTCCTAGTAGGGTGGATCCTATTCTCATGGAAGCTCTTAGTGCTCGTTTTGATTTTCCCCTGGTGTTCAGCCCTGGTGCCTAGATAAATTCACCCCATACGTTGCCCAAGTGCACAAAAGAGTTTATTTTTTTGTGGCCACTTTCGAGAATGAACTTCATTTCCATATGCACCCCTTCATCAAAAATGTTCTGCAGCACCTCAATGTTTGCCCTTCTTAGCTTTCTCCTAACTTCTGGGGTGTTTTAGTGGGTCTTTTAGTTTTCTTTAAAAAGCATGAGCTTGGGACTTCCACCATTTCTCTGCTTATGGACATTTTTAATGTCAAGCTTCCTAAATTGAGGGCTTTCTATATGTTTCTAGGCGGACCTCGTCTAGGCAGATCATCACACACCTCCCGAGTTCCCATAAAGGCTGGAAAAAGAATTTCTTTTTCGTTGGGGGTGTCAACTGGGAATACAACCCTGCTGATAAAACAGATACTCTTGGGATTCCCAGAGCCTAGTTAGCCCCAGATAATTTAGGTGAGTTCTTGTCTGACTGAACTGCGGTTTGAAGATTTATAAGTTGTTTTCCTGACCTCTGCGTTTTTGGTGTTCCTCCTTTCTTAGGCATACGACTTGAACTCAGCGCCGAGGACAAACGGGTGAAGCTGAAATTGGCTAAGTATAGTCTAGAGAGGTACTCTAAGCTCCTTAAGCCCTGAGAATTAGAAAGGCAGGGATTCGGTCATCCTCCAATCCCACTTTCCTTTATCCGACCTGAGGGCGTAGAAGGTAATGTTCTTTCCCCTATTTGGTTTTATTGTTTTCATCCCTTTCTTTTTTCTTTTGACTAAACAGCTTAAGTCAAATCTTTCAGAGCCTTCTACGATGAAGCCTACCCCTGAGATGCTCCAAGTTAAGGTAGAGCTATTGAAGAAGAAAAGCAAGGGTGGTACCAAGCGCAAGGCTGAGGGCAGTTCTGGTGGGAGCCTAGTTACTCAAGTTAAGGTTCAGAAAATGGGTACTTCCTCTGCCTTTGTCCAGAAGGCTCCACCATCCCCCCTATGTGCTTCACCAGCCTCAAGACCTCCTTTCCCCCAAGGGACCCGACTTGCCACTAAAGATGCTCCTAGGCGAGACCGGTCCTCCCCTTCTGCATCAAAAGTTGAGAGGATCTTGGAGACTGTTCACACTCTTTTTGGTTGTGCTACCTCTGCTTCAACCAAAGAGGCCTCCCAATCTCTTCCCACGGAATTCGTGGTAGGAAAAGGGGTCCTCTCGAAGTTTGAGAATTCCCTCATTACTGACGTGAAGCGTGCTGCAGAGGTCATTGCCTCCATTATCCCAGAGTCTGACATTGCTGCAGCTACTTCTGTACCCCTGGGAACCTGTGTTTTCACTGCGTTGTATGGTTGTACTTCGGTGAGATCCTAATTTATCAAATTCTTTCTTTTTCCTTTGGTTGTCCTGCGCTATTCCCTTTACACTAATCTTTCATGCTTGTATTCAAACCGCTATTCAAATAAGCAGCTTGTTAAAGCGAATCCTAGCCTTAGAGGGGTCAGTCAATGCTTCCAAAGCTTTTGAGATGAAGTGTGCCAATCTGGCCTTTGAAAATAATGACCTTAAGGTCCAAGTAAAGGAGCTGCAAGAGCAAGTGGAGTAGCAGTCTTCCTTTGCCAACTCCAGACAAGAGGAGCTCAGCAAGACTAAGGAAGACCTTCGGTCAAAAAACGATGACTGGATAGAGGAGAGCCGAAAGTCCCTTGATGCTCTAGCTTCCTTCAAAAACATAAAGAGGGAGTACGAGGTGTTAGCAAAGGCCAATGATGCTGTCAGAGAGGAGTTAGGGGCTGCCAGAGAGGCACTGGAGGTGCAAGACATTACCATCCATAAAAAGGATGAGCTGATTGCCCAGTTAGAGAATGACGTTCTCACCAGGTAGGCAAAAGGGTGGATTGTTTTTCAGGGTATAGCTAAAAGAACTTACCCTAAACTGAACTTTGACTTTTCAATTCTCCCTAAGGAAGAGGACGAGGGGTCTAATGAAGAAGATGATAATGCTCCTGCTCCTCCTGTTTCTGAAGACGTGCCCATAGACTCTGGAGGGCTCATTCCTCTAGCTAGGACTTTAGCTCAAGATGTTTCTGCCTCCTCAGGCATCTCTACTCCCCTGGCTGCTGAGCCTGCTTCTTCCCTTCTTGCTGAGCTGGCCACAACAGCCTTGGTTGAATCTGAGTTTCCTACCTCTTGGCCTGCTCTTGGCCCTCATGAAACTTCAACTGTTGCTGTGCCAGAGAGGTCGCCTGCTGAGAGCCCTTCTTCCATTCCTCATGCTGAGACATCAACTACTGCATTGCAAGGCCTTTCATCTACTTTCCCTTCAAAAACTTAGGATTTGTAGCTTTGGGTTAATTATCTCAAAATTGTAACATTTTGAAACGAAAATTTTAGAATTGTAGCATTTTGTATCTTTAATTTACAGCTTATAGCTCTCCTCCTTTCCCTTTGTTTTTAACTTGTTGCTCTACTCTTCCATCAATCGAATATGATATTCCTCAACTCTTCCCCCTTTGCTTCAGGGGGTCATTCAAATCTCCTTGAAGTAAAAAGGTTGGGAATAACTGCTGATGTGCCTAGCTAAGCTTCCAGCTCCTTATCCTGCTTCTGTCCGAACTCCAGCAACTGACCACCAGAGCTCTGGCCTTACTTCATCCTCAAAAATTTAGGATACGTAGCTAGTTTTTTAAACTTATCAACTCATGGTTGTGACAATTTTAAACCAGCATTCAACTATGTAACTTCTACTGCGTGGTGCAATCTTCTCAACCATTTTCCTCTCTCAGCAAATGGATAAGAGATTTGCATGACCAGTTTAGCATACACAATTAGGGTCTAGATTTTAACTGTTTGAAATATAAGACAAGGAGTACCTGAAGTCTTACCCTTAAGGAGCTCTCATTTGTTGACCTGCATAGTTGATTTGCTCCAAGACTAGTCTTTAGGGGACCTTTTGGTAAACAATCATGCTCTATCCAGTGGTTCCGATGTGCCGAGGTCCTGGACTGCTATGGACCACACGCAAGGTGACAACCTGGAAGAGCATGCCTAGATGCAGTTACTTGAGTGCATTGACTTCCTCATTTTCGACTTGCTGACCTCCTGA